ATTTAGTAAAAATCCATTTAAGAATAAATGATGGTATTATGCCTAGAGAAATCTCAAATGTGATTTTTTCTGAAAATGATTTGGTTGAAGATGTAAAAAATGCTGTGTTTTCCATTTTAGGACTTGAGAAGTAATTTTTTATAATATATTAAGAGAGGAAGTGTGTTGTGATATAAGTATTTTTGGTTAATCTATCAGCTCTTAAAAACGTTAAAGATCACTTCTTCAATTATCCATTAAATCTAATACAACTATAGAGGCTCGTTTGAGATGGATTTGAGGTGGCCAACCATGATAAAAAGTTTATCATATATATAATTATTTCTTATAATGCACCATCTCTGTTTTTGTCAAAAGATTGATTTGATATCAAAATAAATATACAAGGAATCATTAAAAACGTAATATTGTAAGCAACAAAAAGGTAAGAGAGAGCATCTAATTGAGGTATATTAATAGAACAAGTAGTTTTTAATAATAAATGAAAAGCTAGGACAATATCATAGTTTGCATTTTTTCTGTTAAATTTTAGAATATATCCATAACACATTTTTAATCAAAATAGAAATAATTGAATAAAGCAAAGTTTTTTATCGAATTTTGATTAGAAAAATTCTAAATTATTGTCTTAAACTTGCATAATTAAGAATACCATTATTATTTTCTATTCTTAAGTACAAAAAAGAGATTAATAAAGTTATTATAGTATAATTTAGAATTTTAGGTAAAGAGAATAGAAAAAATTAAAGATTATTACAATTCACATCATATCGAATCAATAATAAAGTTGCAACAGAGTAGAGAGTCCCGGAAAGAGTATTCGCCAATATAGTTAGTATGCAATGTCTATATGTAAATCTTAATTATGAGAACGCAATCATGTAGTGAAATAGAATTTATAGTGCCAGAATGGACAATCTTTTATTAAATGAGGAGATAAATGTCGTTATCATATATTAATTTGAGATGAAGAAAAGGGTAGATTTAACTACAAGAGAATCAAGCTTATAGGTTAGATGGAAATTTTAGAACCATTGAGCACAGATATATTTGATGTTTGAAGGATTTTAGGCTTGCTGTTTATATAATTGTGAAATTTGCGTGATCATTTAATGGAAGAGAAATAACCCCAGACAACAGAGGATAATAAGGATCTTTGTTGATAGTTATGAGCTTTTTGCAATGAATAAACTGAATTAATAATCATTAAGACATCAGAGGAATATCTGTCTAAGTGTTTCTGTAATTTTTCTTACTCTCTTGTCCGAATCAAAGATGTACATAATTATCAAGTCAAATTGATTATTCAATTTCAGCTTGCATTTGGGTAGGCGATTAGCTTTCGTAAGCAAATTACTCTGCTTTAACTCAATAAGATTACTTAATTGCTTCTTACTGCTGCCAATAAAACATAAACATAAATCGACTATCCGTCAGTAATATGCTTGGTACCCTGGTTTTAGTTAAGCTGTAGTTAATAACTTTAGGATTTTCAAAATGCAGTCAAGCATAAGATCAAACTTCTTGTTAAGAAATCAATTTTCTCATTTTGGATCTGCAGTACACAAATATGTAGTCTCTCAATCACAGTTGAATTCTCAATTATACTTATCAACCAAAATGAAGTTAGACTATGCTATGTGATTACATGAAGAAGAATTGTATAAAGCTTTTGATACATTACCGAAATTCGCTTTTTTAATTGTTAGTATTTGGATTCAACTAAGTCTGGAGGAGTTGCAGTTTAACCAAATTAACCAAAAATTCAAACCCTAGAGTATCCATCATACATAATTAGGATTACACATTTCAAATGCCTTCAACTAAGAATTTTAAGTCTAATTCTAGGAAGAAGTGGTTTTGCCCCACCAATCTACTTTACATATTTTTAGTCAACCTAATTGCCTTTCAGGTTTTGAATGTCAATTTAATTATGGTTGTTGATAGCCCTTAGATTGCAGCTAATTAATCCAACAACCCTGGAGCCAATGACACAGTAGATGCAAACATGAATAGAATCTTCTATTTTTCCCTCTCCAAATCGTATTAGACTGCAGTTGAACCATTTAGTAGACCATACTGATATATGTACAGTACTTGAGAACGAACACAAATGCAATCTTTGAACCAATAAATAAGTAAGTTAATTGATATCTTGGATATGGCAAATATCTAGCCTGCACTGTACCTATAGAAGTGATGTAAGTATGTGTGAGATTGGTACAGCAACTGCTTCGATATGCATAAGAAAGAATTTTCCAATTACATTCTTGTGTCAAAAAACCACATTTTGTTTTATAAAGAGATCCCATGTGTATTTTCAAATGGAGATATGATTAAGTTTAATATCAACTTCACATCAATAAATTTAGTATTCGCATCATGAAATAATAAAAAATGTATGTCCATACATATGATTAGTGGGATTTCAGAAATAGAATTTCAACTTTTCAATCTACTAAATTGAATTCCAATAATAATAAGAATGATTTAGCATTCTATATATTGAGAAAAGGATTATGATAAGAATGAAAAAATTCTTTTTCATAATCATCCCAACTATCAGAAAAGACAAATTCATTAATAAGATTAAAATGTTCCTAAAATTTAATAATATATCATGATTTTAAATATAATTTATGGAGAAATGCAGATGTGGATGCATATCCAACTAAAAGAAAAAGGTTCTATTAAAATTTGATCCTCCTATCACAGAAAAGTGGGAGTATTAAGCTGAAATGGCAGGATAAAAATTAAGAATAGAAATCGAAGAATTTACAAATTTAAGTAAGAAAAAACTTAAGATTTATCAATTGTAAATAATATCTTAAGAATTTAGAATTTTATGTCCTCCCCATTTTACAGAATCTTCTAAACTGCTTTGATTATGATCAAAGAGATTCCCAACAATTCCAATTTATATATATAAGATGAAATTGGAGAATTAATTTATTCTCGTTCAATTCATTAAAAAATATAGATGTAATTACATCAATATATATAGCAACAACCTATTTTGACAGATGAATTTATATTAGAAAAGAAAGGCTAGTTAAAGCTAAACTACCTTAGCACTTAATTTTGTTTTTGGAATTTCAAAAATTTCTTCTATTAGTTTAGAAATAACTAGTTCAATGAAAGAAAAGACCGAAACTATTCACTAGTTAACTGTAAAATAATTATATTCCATATCAAATAGGAGAAATGATCAATCAATATTGAAATGATTAGAATACAACAATTTTCAATAATTTCATTATGGGAGTTAAGAATTTAGGTATTACAGCCAGTTGAGAGAAATATTTAAATTAAAAGAAGATTACCAACAAAATCTAGTTAAATTATGCAAAAGATGAGACAAATAAATGGAAGGAAATAAGAATTTAGATTGGAAAAATTAAACTTCAAATCCTTACACTCCTAAAACTGATAGTCATAGTAATAAGACCAACCCTCATTAAGTACGATTGTCTTTCAATAATTTAAGAAGGCAAAATTTTTTTTCCAAGTTTACTTAAAAAACATAAAGGTCAACAATCTAAATCTTTTGAGATAGTCCTGTTTTTCATGGATTTAATAGCTTAATTTGTAAGGATCGCAAATAGATTCTTTAGCTTCTTTTACTAAAAAGCCAACTAAAATTTTCTTTTATTTAAATAGAGTTGTCTAGTGATATGCTAAGTCCTCTTGCTTCTTATATTATAAAAATCACCTCCATTCATTTTATAGACCCATCTATGGCCTCAATCTGCCCTGTGCTCAAAAGGGTATGATTCACCAAGCCATCCTTATGTAAAATGTGTCATAAATTTTATTCTCATTAAGTTAGTCAAAATATCAATTTAGTAACAGGAATTTTATGATTCAAAACTTAAGATAAATCTTAAAAAAGGATTAGAGCTTATGCTAGATCTATTTTGCCAGCAGCATTCCTTAAGAATTAGGTTGAATTTTCTTCATTTCAATCTTTACCACAATCTAGTTGATGCTAATTTAATTAACTAAATCAGCAAGCTTAGTAAATTCTTGATGTATCCACTTCAAAATTCGATTGTGTTTAAGAATTCTCTCATTCATTTTGATTTAAATATCAAAATTTTTGATATTCGTGACTCTCATCCATCCTTTTATAAATAAATAGAGTTAAGAGAAGGAGCTTAGGCATTTGGACTGCCTATTAACTTAAATTATCGCAGTAACTACAAAAAGAAATAGAAGAAAATTTACTCATTTAACCAAGAACGAAAGAATCTAATTGAATAGAATAGGCAATTAGTGTTCAAATATTTATATCCTTGCTGTTACTTTTTAATGATAATTGATTCATCAAATTTATAAATAAAATTAGGCAACGAATATTTAGTATGCAACTCCTTGCAGTGTTGTTGCATGCAAACAAAATAGATGGAGAAATTAGATATTTAATGTTTATCTCAACTTGCGGTTTGGCATTTCTTGGATTATCTTGAACAATCCTTCACTACTGAATGACCTTTGTGTGTTTCTAGATCTATACCGTACACCAGTTTAACAAGGTTAATTTTGAACATTAATTGCGGAATTCTAGCCACCTTCTTTTGATTGATTTTTCTGTCTCTGTTTTGAAACTAGGATGTTCTGCTCTTACCATCA